ACTGCCATAACCTAGCCTAACCAATCAAACTTGCTGATGATATAAAAAAATAAACGGTATCAGCATTCTGACACATACTTTCTCCCATAAGTTTGTCAAAAACCTTTACCATATGTAAGTGGTGAGAGTAAATATACGCAAATGGGATTTGTAATTTTTTGTTAAGAATTTAAAGGACTATAACATGCTAAATTTTTATCAAAATCGTTCGGGCCATTTTTGGGAAAATCCGATTTTTCTGTTATTTTATGGGGGTTTTATGGGAAAATAACATAATTTACAATAACCGTAAATTTTACAGAAATGGGATTTGTGCCATTTTGTTCAGAATATAAAGGACTATAACATACTAAATGTTTATCAAAATCGTTCAGGCCATTTTTGGGAAAATCATATTTTTCCGATATTTTATGGGGTTTTATGGGAAAATCCCCATTAAAAATAAAAATTTCTAAAAAATAAAAAAAACTATAAAATTGTAAGGATTATAACATACTTTGTTAAATCAAAACCGGATTTTTTTCTAAAATCCTATTTTTTGTTAATTTATGGGGTTTTTATGGGAAAATAACATATTTGACCATAACTTTTGAACCGTAATTTTTACAGATATGGGATTTATACCATTTTATTCAGAACTTAAAGGGCTACAACATACTAAATTTTTATCAAAATCGTTCAGGCCATTTTCGATAAAATCCGATTTTTCTGGTTTTTTATGGGTTTTTATGGGGAAATTCCCATTAAAAATAAAAATTTCAAAAAAATGAAAAAACGCCTGGAGATACCATGGATTAGAACCTACATACCAAATTTCATCGAAATCGGACTGCAGGTGTGGTCTCTAGCTCTGTACACATCCAGACACACAGACACACACACACACACACACACACAGACATCACTTCGAAAACTACTTTTTTGGGTCCAGGGGGACCCAAAACGAATATATCCACTCAAAACTCAAACTCGAAAATTTTGACGAAAACAATACTTTCTCCATATACTATGGTATAGGGGGAGAAAGTAATACAAGATAAAAATCGAATCAAGGTTTACTTATTAATTTAAAAAAATATTTCTGTTCATAAAATAAAATAAAATGCTTCAAATCCTAACAAAAGATGTACAGTAGTTAAGAAGTAAACGCATTCTAAGCAAAATATTTGACAAAAAGCTAATGTCACCGGTGGGATTCGATCTGGATACCTCATGGACATTAGTCGAGTACGCTAACCACTACGCCACAAACACCGATGGCTTCACCTTGTATCGTTGCGGTAACGGTGTTCCCTCAAGAGAAGAGTGATGTCACGCCCCCCCCCCCCACTCGTTCGTTAAAGAGGTTCTCATCGGTTCCTGACCAGGAAAATGAGACGCTACCCTATACATCCACACTGCTGTCTGTCAGATCAGAACTAGCTCACTTGGACATGACTTAAGTTGTAGACATTAATACAACACTGGTATTGTAAGTTTGAAACCAGCAATATGCATGTAAAATTCACTAACAAAATAGAAAATCGCCCCTTACATACCTTTTTCTTGAGCATATTGAAATTGTCTATAATTACTCCTATGAACAAATTAAGCGTAAAGAAGGATCCGCATACGATGAATATAACAAAGTAGGCGTACAGATTGGCCTCGTACTCAGGTTGCTCATCAACTCCTCTAGCATCCACAGCATCTGCCATCACCTCCATCAATCCCTCGAATGTAGCCTGAAACGTTCCATCTTGCATCAGATAAGTAGTCTAAAATAGTATATTTCATAACAAGAGTAGAAAGTAAGTCATTACATATTTGAGACAATGTTTGTAGTGTGAGATTTATCAAGCACTTTAAATTGTTGAGAATATGTATTGACCCATTTTCACTTGTGTTTTGAATGTTACTTTTTGATACACTACAAAGACTTATTTTATTAACTAAAACATAAATTGTATATTTTTTTATTTCAGTTAAGAACATTAACATTACAAAACTCACAGTCCTTTTTAGGTTGTCAATACTAATTTTGATTGTTGAAAATTGAAACAGTTAAACATAATTAACAAATCTTTGTTTACTTCGGCAAAATCCAAAAAAGATAGTACACATTACTTTTTCATAGTAAACAATGTAATGATGAATTTTTGCAGGTAATAAACATGTAACGAAAATAGGCCATTCACAGTAGTCTAGCAAAAAAGTGTTTTTCAACCTCGATTTTCTTAAAGAGAAGGATAAGAAAGGTCTGCAGCGGCCGTACGAGTAACGCTCATAAGTCGGCGCCAATGGGTTAAAAGTACACTAATTAATTGTAAGTATGTAATGTGATGCTAACTTCAGTTATGGTGTTTGGAAATGTTGAGTAGCTTAATTTTACTGTCAATTAATTTTTGAATAATTTTTTTAATAATTAACTTTAAATTTACTCTACATGATGAATTATGATTTGTATGCATCTTGTTTCTCTTTCAGTATTATTATTATGCCTTTTGCACGTTACCTGATATCCTCTTGCATATCTTTTTGTAATGCTAGCTTCTTTTTTGTTCATAGTCCACCTGTTACTAATTTTGTATGTTCTATTCAGTAGTATTACTATCTTATGCATCTTGTATTCACCTATTGTATTATTTAGTATTTATTATTGCTTGTTGTATTATTTAGTATTTATTATTGCTTGTTATCTACCGTATGTAATGGCATTATTGTACAATGGCTTCTGCCGTGAATAAACGAATTGAATTGAATTGAATTATAATTATAATATTGTGTGTAGTGAAATAGTATTTAGGAAGTGTGGAAGTACGGAGAAATGTTGTTGTTAGTTTCGTTTGGAGGTTATGGGCAGGGGGAATGAGTCTATGAATAGGGGTGCACTGGGAATACTTGCATTATTGGGGCATAGTCAGACTAGTTACGCCACTGATTTTGACTTCTCTTAGGATTGAACTGTTAACCCTGTGAATACTAGGCGAGCATTATTTATTATCCGCTACCCAGCTGTCTACAGAATTGTCTCCATAGATATTACCATTAAGCAATAAATAAACATAGTCTGTAACCAATAGGTATTCTGAAAATTATTTGTGTTCAAAGGTCAAGAGTTCAAAAGATGTCTATTTCTTACCTAGCATAAAAACAAATAAGTATACAGTATATGACCCTATCATTGAAATTTTAGGTAAGATTGCAAAAGTTAAATGTTCACACACAACTTCCTCCTGTTAAACTAAACCTACTAAAGACATTTCAGAACTTTTGCTTATCTAAAGATGTAATTATTCTATAAGCCTGTGTAGGCATATGCAGTTTTTTGCTGTGTTAAAAAACATGTAAACTGTTCTAAGGGTGTCTATTGACAGCTATGTATTTACAGTATTAATACAGGGTGAATCAGACCACCCGTGCACATACTTTAACAGCATATACAGTCATATTCTCACTGATCAGTTATACAAATGTTTACCCACTTCTACAACAGCTAGGGATCTGAAATTTTTTGAGGAGGTCAGTCTCGGTCCCAAACCTCCCAGAAAATTAAAAAAGGTAAATTTCCAAATTACAGCCCCCTAAAAAAATTCCCTTAAATCCCCCTTTTATAAAAAAAACATGTTATTTAACGGCTATAGCTCAAAAACGGTAAGGGCAAGCAAAAGATTTGAAATACTGTAATTTTCATGGTCAGGAATTAAATTTTCTACAAGATCCGTATTTCCTTTTTTTTGAAAATCGTACTCCTTCACCTTCAAAAAACTACCTACTAAAATTTGTAAAATGTCTTGAAATTTCAACCTGTTATTTATTTTTTTAAATTACTTTTTGGACATATATTTCTACTTTTAATGATCCTAACATTGAAAGAAAAGTGCTTAAGTGACATTTTTAAATTGCAACCCACAGAAAAAAATTTAAATAGGGGATTTTCAATAAAAAAGGTTTTTTTACGCTTGTTGGGCCAAACCGTTGTACACGGGTGGGTTGATTCACCCTGTATTTTTAACAAACAAGTTTCTACTCACCACTTGAAATAAAGCTAAGTAAGCGTTTCCAACATTGTCAAAAGTAATTTTGGAATTTATCCAAGTAAAATTATTATCTTTACACTCATGAATGTTTTTTACAACCTGGAACAACAACAGTTATTAGCCATGAATACATTCACATAAATACAAATACATATAAATACATTTTCAGTACACAAACCACTGAAAAATGTTTAAAATACTGGTAAAAATAAAGAAAACATAATTTTCTGTGTATCGTTATATTACATAGAAAATTATGTTTTCTTGATATTTACCAGTATTTAAATTTTTTTAGTAATTTGGGTAATGTATGTGGGTTTATGATTAAGAAAGGGAAATTTATTTTTACCAAATCTTATGTTGTACATCAGTACTTCACTAATAATAGTTTTGCTCAAGTAAATCTTATCAATGGTAATGCAAAATGAAATCCACATTTCATGCCTAGTAATATTTGATTTTTTAAATGTCATGTAAATGTATTAAAACTAATTTGTTTAAGTCAAGAAAGGATGTAAACAAAAATCAAAAGAAAAACTTATGGATATAACGTCTTTCTCTTAGTCTTAGAAGTGACTTACAGATACTGGAAGAAGCTCTTCGTCATCATCAACACATTTGAAAAACTTTCCTCCAAAAAATTGAACACCCATAATAGAAAAAATGAGCCAAAACACCAAACACACTAACAGGACGTTGAAGATGGAGGGAATGGCATACATCAACGCATTCACAACTATATAAACCAGTGTGGACTCGATAGTGGACAGTGACTAGTGGATTTACCATCTAATTATTACAATTGTGGTGCGTGTTAAGTGGTCATATGACAGAATCAAAAATTGATAAATATTTTACACCAGTAAATAGGTCATTCAAACGGCAGAGATCTTATTCGTCACCGGAGTGTGCAGACGACGCCGAGACGGTAACGGCCAACATGGGCAGCGAAGAAAAGGTAGGCGATATTACACGATCCCAACTTCTGAAGGACTTGGGCCAGTTGCTTGATAGTAAATTAGAAAATATGGCAACCAAAAAGGAGTTCTCTCAACTCACGGGGCAAGTGTCGGAGTTACAAAAGGAGAATATTGTACTAAGGAAACAAATAGAGGACTTACAACAGAGAGAGAGTGTGGTTATGTCTAGGTTAGTCGATCTTGAAGGAAGATCTAGGCGTAACAACCTCATATTTAGGGGGTTGAAGTGGTCCAAGGAAACTCGTAACTTCAATGAAATCGTGCGAAAGTTTTGCAACGATGTTTTCGGGAGTGCGGATACTATATTTGTAAATAGAGCCCACCCTCTAGGGGGAAGTAACAATGCAATCATTGCACACCTACCAAATGACGCCGACATCTACTATATTATGTCACGTGTAAGAGAGTTAAAAGGCACCGGTTATTCAGTGCATAGAGACTATCCTAAAGAAGTGCGTGAAAAACGAGCATGTCTGTCAAAGCTTAGAGACGAAATTGAAAGTGTGGCGGGGAAACAAAAGAATAAGATATCATTATATTTCGACCATATGACTTTCAAAGGACATCGGTTCACATGGGAGGGAGGTGAACTAAAGGCAGGCAACCAGGATGGTGCTCAATTGTTGCAGACACTCTTCAAACGTGATTTTTCAGACTTCTTACGTGATCTTAAAGTACCCAGATCAACAGTAGTGATGGACATATCGACAGAGAGGACAACAGCTTCAACAACGCAGGGGTCGGCGAGTGCTACGGGTACGTCGAAGAACGTGTCAGTTTCAACACCTACGCAGTCGCCTCGCGTTTCCAACCACGACAATGAGTGAGGAGGTGACGCCAATCCATCTACAGAGGGACTAACTCCAAACCACAACCCAACGACGACCGGGCTTACTCAATTCAAGGTTTTATCTTATAACGTTTGTGGATTAAAAAATAAGGTAAATGATTTATTATTTTTAGAGTTCATAAAGGAGTTTGATTTAATTATATTTTTAGAGACATTTGTCGCGGAAAATGATCAAGATATTATTGTAAATAGGTTAAGTAACTTTGATTTAACTTTTACTTTCGCAGTGAGAACTGCTAATGTTGGTAGATATTCAGGTGGTCTAGTTTACGCATTAAATCGTAACTCTCATTTTATAAGCGATGTAACTTTTGTAAACTTTGAATATTTTAATGTGGTTAGGCTCGACAATATTGTTGTTGGCTGCGAGCAATTGTTTATAGTGCCTGTTTACATAAATTTCAATTGTTGGCAAATAGATTATAATAGGCTTCAAAGTTTCTTTGATAATAGCTGTTTCCAGAATATAGTCCTTATAGGGGATTTAAATGGGCGTATTGGAATAGAACAGAGTTTTTCTGAAAATATAATTAGCATTTCGAATAATAGGATTGAGGACATTAGACATTCAAAAGACAACATTTTAAATTCAAATGGACGTAAAATATTAGATTTGTGTGACAATTTAGGATTAGTAGTTTTAAACGGAAGGTCCATAGGGGACAAAGAGGGTGAATTTACTTTTGTTGGACATAGGGGTAACTCAGTCATAGATATAGCAGCGGTCACTTTTAATTGTTTACATTCGATTCACGACTTCAAAGTTGTTGGTTTTCCCGGATCAGATCATATGCCAATAGAAGTAAGTTTAAATGTAGAGACTCCTGGGCCTGTGGGAGGGGGTTCAGGGGAGGGGAAAATTATACCATTGTTGCCAAAGCTGAAATGGACGAATTTTGATTGTCTGAACTATACTAGCAAAGTTGAGGAAAGTATGAAATCTTTTTCGCCGCAAACTGTTAATGATGTATTAAATGTTATAACTAATTCTGCACATTATAAGCTAGGTTCAAAGAGTAATACACCTTTTGTTGGTAAACAACCTTGGTTTGACTATCACTGTTTAAACGCCAGAAAGAGAGTGTTTAAACTGTTACAGCTTTTTAGACAAACCAATTCAACTGAAATAAAGGCTAAGTATGTTGAGGAGCAGAGGAAATATAAACAGCTATGTACAGGAAAGAAGAACGAATACAACTATTCTTTAATCTCAACTCTTACTGTGTCTAAAGATTCCAAAACGTGTTGGCGAGCAATAAACTCGTTTAAGTGTAAAAACAACATAAACCGAGTAGGAAATATAAAACCTGAAGAATGGGTTACACACTTTCAAACTTTACTAAATCCTCTGGTGGAGAGTACTATCTCGTTTGCAGAACCTTTTATTGCCGATGATTATCTTGATAAAGACTTTGATTTCCTAGAATTAAAAGTTGTTTTGTCCAGCTTGAAAAATAATAAAGCACCGGGCCTAGATAGAGTCCCATATGAGTTTTATAAGAATGCCCCAGACCTATTTTTGACTAAACTACTTAGTATTTATAATGACATTTTTCGGAATAAGGTCATACCTGAAAGCTTTAAGAAATCGATAGTTTTTCCATTGTTTAAAAAGGGTGATATTAATTCAGTTCAAAATTATAGAGGATTGTCTTTTATAAATTGTATTGGTAAAATATTTATAGGAATGCTAAATAATAGACTTACAAATTGGGTCAATGAAAACCACATCTTATCGGAGTTCCAGGCGGGTTTCAGACAAAACTATTCCACTATAGATAATATTTTTAATTTGGCATCGATGATCAAACTACGTTTAGCGGAGAAAGGTGGCAAATTGTATGCATTTTTTGTGGATTTTTCAAGTGCGTTTGACACTATTGATAGACGATCGCTTATGTTAAAACTTTCATCAATCGGCGTATCAACGCACGTTTTAGATGTTTTGAGGAGTTATTATTGTAACACATCTGCAGCGGTTTGGTGTAAGGGCGGCATTTCAGATGAGTTTGAGACAAAGACAGGTTTAAGACAAGGATGTATAGGAAGTCCTCTCCTGTTCAGCTTATTCGTAAATGATTTGCCAGAGGTGCTGGAAGGTGGCTGTAATTTCGGTGGAAAGAGAGTAAATGTTTTGATGTATGCAGACGACATCGTATTGTTGGCCCCCACAGCAACAGCATTACAAATGATGATTAAAAACTTGGAGTGTTACAGTTCAATTTGGAACCTTACAGTAAATATATCCAAATCCAAAATAATGGTTTTCAGGAAAGGTGGTAGATTATCAGGACATGATAGATGGTGGTATAAGGGCAAACAGGTTGAAGTGGTAGATAGTTATAAATATTTGGGAATGTTATTTACAACAACATTGTCATGGGAAAAACATTTCATAGAGAAGAGGAGGCTAACTAATTATGCAATTAATTCAGTATGGCAAAGGCTAGTAGACAACAACAAAGTCCCGATGCAGATTAAAATATTATGCTTCGAATCTATTCTCAGAGCTATTTTGTGTTACGGCGCACAAGTTTGGGGGTTTTCAGAAATTTCTCAGTTAGAAAATGCTCAGAAAACGTTTATTAAAAGGATGTTTAGATTGCCACATAACACTCCCAACTATATTGTTTACTTAGAAACATGTTTTGAAAAGTTGTATTTCTTTAATCTACAAATTAACGCAACATACATTTTTAAGGTTTTTAATATGCCAGAATCACGCCTACCAAAAATTATTGCTAAATCTGTAATTGGAAAAGGTATTTTTTGGGCCAAAGAGTGGAAATGTCTAAGGCGAAAACACGGTTTGGACATTAATTTCGAGTCAGCAGATGTTTTTGAGGGATTAGTGAAGACAATTGAGGCGGAAAGAGATAGCTGGAGAATTGATATGGTTGGCAGAGCGCGTACATCGCAATATCACCAACAACTGCTTGCCGTTGACCTTGACCTAGGGCCCAGGAGTTTTCTCACTGATAACATCAATATAAATCTTATCTCATGGGTCATTAAGGCCCGAGCAGAGCTGGTTGATTTGAATCACAAACCATGGATAACGAATAAAAATCATTTCTGTAGTTTGTGCAATTTGCGTGAATTTGAAACAGTTTTTCATTTTGTTTCTATTTGCCCAATTTTAGGTGATATCAGGGAGTATTGGTTTGGAAAACGAAGCATGCATTGGGAAGAACACATAGAATACATAAATGGTAGAGATTGGCGTAAATTAGCAAACTTTATGAGGGAGGCGTGGAGAAGGAGGTGGGAGTTAATTAGAGAATTTAATTACGAATAAATAAAATGATTATTTTTTCAAATTCAAAATTGTTTTATTATCTTTCTAATTTATAAATTAAATCAAAACAATAATTATGTCAAACAACTTGTCAGCCTGTCTTCTTAAATATTCATAGTAATTTTCATAGTTTTCATTATGCGTAAACCTTTTAAATTCTAATAATTTAAAAAAATAAAATAATAAAAGTTATGTAAACAATATTATGAAAAAGGTATTTTTTTTTTTTTTAGTTTTGTTGAAAATGGATGTAAAATTGTATGTAAATTTGTGTATGTTAGTAAGTGTATTTTGTTTCAACTTAATTTTCATAAATGTGTTTTCCAGGTGTGCCAACCAAACAGACGGTCGTAGACCATTGTTTAATTGAGTGTATGCTTGTGTTATAAGAGGAATGTTTATGTTAAAATAAAGCACTTTATTCATTCATTCATTCATTCAGTCATATTCTCACTGATCAGTTATACAAATGTTTACCCACTTCTACAACAGCTAGGGATCTGAAATTTTTTGAGGAGGTCAGTCTCGGTCCCAAACCTCCCAGAAAATTAAAAAAGGTAAATTTCCAAATTACAGCCCCCTAAAAAAATTCCCTTAAATCCCCCTTTTATAAAAAAAACATGTTATTTAACGGCTATAGCTCAAAAACGGTAAGGGCAAGCAAAAGATTTGAAATACTGTAATTTTCATGGTCAGGAATTAAATTTTCTACAAGATCCGTATTTCCTTTTTTTTGAAAATCGTACTCCTTCACCTTCAAAAAACTACCTACTAAAATTTGTAAAATGTCTTGAAATTTCAACCTGTTATTTATTTTTTTAAATTACTTTTTGGACATATATTTCTACTTTTAATGATCCTAACATTGAAAGAAAAGTGCTTAAGTGACATTTTTAAATTGCAACCCACAGAAAAAAATTTAAATAGGGGATTTTCAATAAAAAAGGTTTTTTTACGCTTGTTGGGCCAAACCGTTGTACACGGGTGGGTTGATTCACCCTGTATTTTTAACAAACAAGTTTCTACTCACCACTTGAAATAAAGCTAAGTAAGCGTTTCCAACATTGTCAAAAGTAATTTTGGAATTTATCCAAGTAAAATTATTATCTTTACACTCATGAATGTTTTTTACAACCTGGAACAACAACAGTTATTAGCCATGAATACATTCACATAAATACAAATACATATAAATACATTTTCAGTACACAAACCACTGAAAAATGTTTAAAATACTGGTAAAAATAAAGAAAACATAATTTTCTGTGTATCGTTATATTACATAGAAAATTATGTTTTCTTGATATTTACCAGTATTTAAATTTTTTTAGTAATTTGGGTAATGTATGTGGGTTTATGATTAAGAAAGGGAAATTTATTTTTACCAAATCTTATGTTGTACATCAGTACTTCACTAATAATAGTTTTGCTCAAGTAAATCTTATCAATGGTAATGCAAAATGAAATCCACATTTCATGCCTAGTAATATTTGATTTTTTAAATGTCATGTAAATGTATTAAAACTAATTTGTTTAAGTCAAGAAAGGATGTAAACAAAAATCAAAAGAAAAACTTATGGATATAACGTCTTTCTCTTAGTCTTAGAAGTGACTTACAGATACTGGAAGAAGCTCTTCGTCATCATCAACACATTTGAAAAACTTTCCTCCAAAAAATTGAACACCCATAATAGAAAAAATGAGCCAAAACACCAAACACACTAACAGGACGTTGAAGATGGAGGGAATGGCATACATCAACGCATTCACAACTATATGTGAACAGAAGCATTCGTTGAGCATTTCAATTTTCTTAAATTACCCAACACAACATTATGAAAAATTCAATTTAAAGTTACTTTTATTTTGACTTTTTTGTAAAACAATTTTTATGTTGATTATAATTATAGTAATACAGTAATCCTACATTTTTTTCCAGTTTCAGCTTTGGAATATAATTGAATTCTTTACTGCGAAAACTCCATAAGCAACAATTTTTCAATTTTTACTTTTCAGTAGCCTATATTATTGATGTAAAAATTGAAATAGGCCTACACCTACAATGTTTTGTGCAGAAATCACACAACTGGGGAATAAAGTTGGTTATGGGGTTTCTGCAATAAACGATTCAATTGTATTTCCTATCATAGGAGTTGAAAACAAAAAATAATTTCACAGAACTCTATAGATATGTTACCTAGTTGGTTAAGAATGTGCAAAATGCAAAAATGTTTGCTACCTACTCACCACAAATAAAATTACTCAGTAACTCTACTCTGAACTATTGTGAAGAATAAAAGAAAGAAAAATAAATCAAATTTAAATTAAATGTAATTAGAACCAAAATCTGGAATTGAAGCAGACACCACATACCCTCATTTCCTGCCATCTAGATATTGCTCTTAACGTCCTTAAATACCTCAGTACTTCGAGATTTTCATTTTCTTCTATTAATAAACTAAATATTGAAAAGCAAATTATTGCTTGTTGTATTATTTAGTATTTATTATTGCTTGTTATCTACCGTATGTAATGGCATTATTGTACAATGGCTTCTGCCGTGAATAAACGAATTGAATTGAATTGAATTATAATTATAATATTGTGTGTAGTGAAATAGTATTTAGGAAGTGTGGAAGTACGGAGAAATGTTGTTGTTAGTTTCGTTTGGAGGTTATGGGCAGGGGGAATGAGTCTATGAATAGGGGTGCACTGGGAATACTTGCATTATTGGGGCATAGTCAGACTAGTTACGCCACTGATTTTGACTTCTCTTAGGATTGAACTGTTAACCCTGTGAATACTAGGCGAGCATTATTTATTATCCGCTACCCAGCTGTCTACAGAATTGTCTCCATAGATATTACCATTAAGCAATAAATAAACATAGTTTGTAACCAATAGGTATTCTGAAAATTATTTGTGTTCAAAGGTCAAGAGTTCAAAAGATGTCTATTTCTTACCTAGCATAAAAACAAATAAGTATACAGTATATGACCCTATCATTGAAATTTTAGGTAAGATTGCAAAAGTTAAATGTTCACACACAACTTCCTCCTGTTAAACTAAACCTACTAAAGACATTTCAGAACTTTTGCTTATCTAAAGATGTAATTATTCTATAAGCCTGTGTAGGCATATGCAGTTTTTTGCTGTGTTAAAAAACATGTAAACTGTTCTAAGGGTGTCTATTGACAGCTATGTATTTACAGTATTAATACAGGGTGAATCAGACCACCCGTGCACATACTTTAACAGCATATACAGTCATATTCTCACTGATCAGTTATACAAATGTTTACCCACTTCTACAACAGCTAGGGATCTGAAATTTTTTGAGGAGGTCAGTCTCGGTCCCAAACCTCCCAGAAAATTAAAAAAGGTAAATTTCCAAATTACAGCCCCCTAAAAAAATTCCCTTAAATCCCCCTTTTATAAAAAAAACATGTTATTTAACGGCTATAGCTCAAAAACGGTAAGGGCAAGCAAAAGATTTGAAATACTGTAATTTTCATGGTCAGTAATTAAATTTTCTACAAGATCCGTATTTCCTTTTTTTTTGAAAATCGTACTCCTTCACCTTCAAAAAACTACCTACTAAAATTTGTAAAATGTCTTGAAATTTCAACCTGTTATTTATTTTTTTAAATTACTTTTTGGACATATATTTCTACTTTTAATGATCCTAACATTGAAAGAAAAGTGCTTAAGTAACATTTTTAAATTGCAACCCACAGAAAAAAATTTAAATAGGGGATTTTCAATAAAAAAGGTTTTTTTACGCTTGTTGGGCCAAACCGTTGTACACGGGTGGGTTGATTCACCCTGTATTTTTAACAAACAAGTTTCTACTCACCACTTGAAATAAAGCTAAGTAAGCGTTTCCAACATTGTCAAAAGTAATTTTGGAATTTATCCAAGTAAAATTATTATCTTTACACTCATGAATGTTTTTTACAACCTGGAACAACAACAGTTATTAGCCATGAATACATTCACATAAATACAAATACATATAAATACATTTTCAGTACACAAACCACTGAAAAATGTTTAAAATACTGGTAAAAATAAAGAAAACATAATTTTCTGTGTATCGTTATATTACATAGAAAATTATGTTTTCTTGATATTTACCAGTATTTAAATTTTTTTAGTAATTTGGGTAATGTATGTGGGTTTATGATTAAGAAAGGGAAATTTATTTTTACCAAATCTTATGTTGTACATCAGTACTTCACTAATAATAGTTTTGCTCAAGTAAATCTTATCAATGGTAATGCAAAATGAAATCCACATTTCATGCCTAGTAATATTTGATTTTTTAAATGTCATGTAAATGTATTAAAACTAATTTGTTTAAGTCAAGAAAGGATGTAAACAAAAATCAAAAGAAAAACTTATGGATATAACGTCTTTCTCTTAGTCTTAGAAGTGACTTACAGATACTGGAAGAAGCTCTTCGTCATCATCAACACATTTGAAAAACTTTCCTCCAAAAAATTGAACACCCATAATAGAAAAAATGAGCCAAAACACCAAACACACTAACAGGACGTTGAAGATGGAGGGAATGGCATACATCAACGCATTCACAACTATATGTGAACAGAAGCATTCGTTGAGCATTTCAATTTTCTTAAATTACCCAACACAACATTATGAAAAATTCAATTTAAAGTCACTTTTATTTTGACTTTTTTGTAAAACAATTTTTATGTTGATTATAATTATAGTAATACAGTAATCCTACATTTTTTTCCAGTTTCAGCTTTGGAATATAATTGAATTCTTTACTGCGAAAACTCCATAAGCAACAATTTTTCAATTTTTACTTTTCAGTAGCCTATATTATTGATGTAAAAATTGAAATAGGCCT